TTTTAATTATATGAAAGATTCATAACCTTAATCATCGTCATAATTATGTTCTCAACCTTTTCATCGTATTCTTATCACGAAATTTTCATTAATTAGCACATACGACAATTTTCATACAAAAACTTGGTCAAGAGGGAGTAAAAAAAAAAAAACTTATTTTGACACTCGTATTTCTAAATAAGCAAAAGCGGGTATCACACTCAATAGAATCATACTTTGCTATCTCAATAGGAGAGAAAAAGAAAGAGGAACTATAGATAGAAAAAGTCACATTAGCTACACCAAACAAGACACTTTTTTTTTTTTTGGTTAACCTATTTTTTGAAGATCGGATCAGTCACTTCTCAATCCCCCTATCACAACAAGACAGAGCTAACCCAATATTCTATAGTGAAGTTTAGAGAACATAGTACTAGGACTTACTAGATGAAATATCATGATTGTTGAATGGCTTCTAAGCCTCTTATGTAGCTGCTATCTATTTGATCTTTTCTAAAAATAAATTCACGATTCGATATATGTCCCTCATTTTAAAGCACAAATAATCTTTGGACAAGACCTATCCGTTAAATACAAGAGGTGCTAATTAATAGAATATTAAAGATATAAGTTGATTAAAAAAAGTTTAGTATTTAAATATGATAATAGCAAATGACTTTCATTACAATTTGAAAAAAAAAATAAAGGTGATGTCACGTCAACATAAATTGTCATAAAGTTTTTGAAATTTACCCTGAAATAAAAAACTTGCTGGCTATGGGGTTCGAACCCATGCGCACTTATGTGCAGAAGATCTTAAGTCTTCCCCCTTAACCTCTCGGGCAAACCAGCTTCGTTGTTTCAATCTACACATTTATTTAATTCAACTAAATATTTGAATTAAGAAACACAAACCCTAGCCTAGAACGAAATAGAACCCCCATCTCTCGTTCTTTGCAAACCGAAGAAATTGAAGAAGATGGCAGAGCATTTGGCGTCGATTTTCGGGACGGAGAAGGACAGGGTGAACTGCCCGTTTTACTTCAAGATTGGGGCCTGCCGTCACGGAGACCGGTGCTCGCGCCTCCACACGAAGCCGAGCATCAGTCCAACTATAGTGCTTTCCAACATGTATCAGCGCCCTGACATGATCACTCCCGGAGTCGATCCCCAGGGCCAGCCTCTTGACCCTAAGCAAATCCAAAACCATTTTGAGGTAAAATTAAAAATTCCAAAATTCCTAGAATTTACATATATAAGCATAAGATTTTACATGATTTTATTTGACGTGAATGATCTGTTGTGTGTGAGAGATTCAAGTCATGGTATGATTCTCTGGATGCATTGAAGTACATATCAATTTTATGTATTCTAGTTTCTTAAGAGTTTGTGTATTTATGCTTTGTAGTATAATTAGTTGTAGGATTTGCTTAATCAGCCTCTTGGATTTTTGAAAAAGTGCTCTCAGTCTGGTGTGATATTATAGCGAGAAACAACAAAAAGGAGAAATCACAATTTAGGAATTATGCGGTCAACTTGGTAAGATTATCAAAAGTAGATCTGATAAGCCAATTAATCTTATTCAAGATTGGATCACCAAAAAAGTTGGTTTTTGCAAATACTATAATTGACATCACCTTGGTCGTATGAGAAAAAGAAGCCTAATTTTTTTTCACTGTACTCTCTCGCTTTAATAATACTTCTTAACAAACACACACTTCGTGTATTATGTGATGCTTCATGGATGGTGAAAACGACTCCAGAGGCTATTGTGGGAATATTATTTTTATTAATTATAGTCATTGTTTAGAAAATCTATTTGAGGCTTATACCTCGAATCCTACCTAATGTGAGGCATTCATAACATGCCTCAAAGCTTACAAGCTACACCTTGAGACACATTTACTGGCTTACACCTCAAGGGGACTGAAATGTTTACTCGTTTGTCTTGCGTTTGTGGATATTTTGTTATTCTTTATCATCTAGAATGTTTTACGATTTTTTTTTTCCCTATCTTCACATGAAAGGGAAAGGAAAATATGTGATAGCTAGTGGAGGATGATGAATGAGAAGAAACTAATACTGATGAGGAGGATGGTATTGGTGATTCCCTCAAGATCCTATTATAATTTTGTTTTGTGATTACTCACTCAAAATTTTTTATTTGATACTTTATTAAACTATTTTGTATTTTTTTCCAAGTTAGACTTCTAAATTTGTTGTTTTATTATGGACTTTTTAAGATGGTTTATGATTTATTATGAGCATTTTTTTGTATTTTTATATTATTTTAAATATTTTATTGGTTTGTCTTGAAGCTTACGCCTCGCTCACTATCCGACTAGGCCCATTTAAACTATGATTGTAGTAAACTGACATGGATGTAGGAGTATTCTCAGAGTATTGTAAATAACATAATATAAGTGGGCATAACAGAAAACAGGTAGTGAATGCTCACATATCTGTCTACAAGGATGTGGCTTTGAATGGTTTATTGCGTGTCTACATCTGTGATTTGTAGTAGACTGATTTATGATTGATATTTTTTGGCCCCATTGAACTGCCAAGTTGCTTTTGTGCAGAGTTTCTTGGCACTAGAGTAATTAGCTGTTGATATATGATTTTCGGGGTGTAGGAGTAAGTGCATAGTTTCTTTTATGTTGTTTAACTAGTATGACTACTTGAGAAGTTTTGAGCTGATTTTTATGGGTGACTGAGTACTGCTTAGTTAGTGGACAAAAGACACAATTCACTTAGATTATTGTTTTTCCTTTATATATATATGTATGTATATATATTGTGTTATACACACACACACATTTTTTTTTTAATATTTGGGCTCAAACTAATTTAAGTTTGGAAATGCAGTATACTCGCAATCCTATTTTACAGTATGTGTTTTTTTTTAAAAAATCGTGCTTGTTTGATAAAACATTGCTAAAATTATGTCAAACCTTAATTTTAACTACAAATTTCATGGGATCCATAACTTCTTAATCTCACGTTACATCAACTTTTTATCAAAATCTACTAAAACTGTAACGACCCGACCTCGCGTCAGAGCCGTTATCATATCGTACGTACTGTCTGTTTCGGGAGAGTTTAGGCCCATCTTACCCCTCACGGCTTTCTGACGCGTCCCCCAGAATTCGAACCCAAGACCTCCATCAGTATGTACGATATGATAACGGCCCCGGTGCGAGGTCGGGTCATTACAAAAACTTTTATCAAAAACTTCGTCAAACAACCCCTTAAAGTTTTATGTCATGGATAATATTTTTATTGGGCTGAATATTCTACACTCCTTTCTAAAATTACTATATTAAATAGTTATTTTTTTAACATGCAGGATTTCTATGAAGATTTGTTCGAGGAGCTTAGCAAATATGGAGATCTTCAGAGCCTCAACATCTGCGATAACTTGGCTGATCACATGGTTGGTAATGTTTACGTCCAATTTAGAGAGGAAGACCATGC